TCTGTCTGTAAGGCAAAGGTCACCATTTGCTTGACTTGTGTTTGTCCATTGGCAAAGTGTGTTTTTGTGCCGGCATCCATTTTGGCAGTAAGGCTTGGCAGGGAATAAAAGCAAAAACGCTAGGTTTTTTTTGTGTCCAACTGTCTGTTTGATGCATATGGTTGTCACGGTAACATACCCTCTCATACCCACATGCTGCTTGGACAGTGGGCGTCAATACTTTGAAATCACAAAATAGCACTTAGAGCCAAATTATACCGGGTGCCCCTCTCTTATTGACACATAATGTGTTGTAATGGAAGCACAAAGGTAGAAACGTTTCCTAATGACAGTTGTACAATTAAGAGTAGCTCCCTTAAGCACAAGGTCTCAGTGTGCATTAGAGCCCAGAGAATTGACTCTCAGCTCACACTGGGTTTTGAAAATGACCTTTGGCTCATCCCTTCATTCAGCGGTGCTGAAAGTGTGTCTGTGATTCAGCGGGGAGTTGATCTAATGCTCTGTGAGTGGATGCGACACAGTGTGATGTGTGTCCACCGCCCAGCAGAGTGTGAAGGGACAATCCGAGCTGGGCAGGGAGGTCCACACACAGCTGAGTAGGGAGTGAAGGGACTCTGACAGCACAGAAGTCATGCGCATCAGTCTGCTGTTCAGCCTTTCACTTTGCCTCTGCTTGTCTGTCAGTCTGTTTGTCTCAGAATCTGTCATTCTTTCCATCTGTCTCTTGTCATTGCGCTGTGGTAGGTGGCTGTTGTTTTAAATGTGTGCTGCAGGCCTAAGAGGCTGAGTCCACAGTTTTCAATGGCCGAGTCAGAGAGAGACACACTAAGGAGCTGCGGAATGAATTTGAGGTTTGAAACACACTGAGGCATGAAGCATCTATTGTGAGCAACAACATTCTGGTCCCAGGCTCTTCAATAGAAGGCCACAGAGGTTTCTGTTTACCTCCATGCTGCTGGCTTTCACTGGTTTCTCTCACGTGGCCGTCAGAGAGCGTGGTATCATTGTTTGTTTGTTTTAATGCCAAGTGGGGGATGATGGGAAAACTACTGAGGGTCACCTGGTCAGAGCTTTTCCTCTTCTGAAGCGGCTCTACATGGCTGTGGCCTCTGGCTCTAAATCTTTTAGGCAGAATACCAATGATGAGATTTTATCATAAACAGTGAAGTCAGAAATATGCATTTTCCTTTTTTTTTAACTTCAACACAGTGAATGTGAAATTTTACTTCTGTTCTCTCAGCCTTATACTGTTTACTTGCCCTTTGCTATTGGCTTACATAAGGATATGTACATACAGTATATATTCAGAGCCACTGTACCAGAGTCAAATTCCTCGTGTGTCCAGCACACCTGGCCAATAAAGCTGATTCTGAATCTCAGTTTTAGGAGCATTTGGCTGTGTTCACACCCCTCTTGGTTACATATCAAAAATGAATGAACTGTAGGGAGGCAGTAGGACAACCAAGGTGTTTGACATCGAAGACCAGACCGAAGTACCTGAAAGAAATGCTGATGGCTGTCATACAGGTCTGGCAGGGCAGCACCAATGAGGATGACAGCCATTTACTGATGTCTGTGTGCCTTATGTTTTAGCTAGCCACTGAATCCATAGGGTTTCCAATGACATAAAAAAATAAACAGTTTTATATCCAGTGTGCCAGAGTACAGAGCCAAAAAATGCACCTCTGCCTTAATACTTTCTGGCTGCCCTGTACAGAATAAGCTAAGTCATCTATGTAGCTGTCTTTCAATACCTGAATTGCCATGTTACATCTCTAAAAACCAGACTGTGAGCAAGCGATTGATCTCACAAAGTAGTCTATTTTAATGCCACCTGTGGAGCATCATCATCTGCTGAAAGTGAAGCAGTAGTGTTCTCTCATGTTAGAAAGCAGTGATATTATGCAGCAACAGGTCTTAGATCAGATGAGCTGCAGATAAGCAGAGGGGTTCCTACATGCACAGTGGGCCCCTGGGCTGCTTCCAGCACGTCATCTCAGTTGAACGTGTCAGGATATTTCTTAGGTGTGTCTCTGCCAATTCTCCAATGGTTCTGTCAACACTCCTGTTCGTGCATGTTTAAGTGCCAGTGAATGTCAGAAAGAGATTGGGGATGTGATAGATGGGATGTGTGTGTTTTTTTTTGGTATCACTGGTAGACAGGAAGGTGCTGGGAGACACAGCTGGTATCACTGTGGTTGTATGAAAAGAAGAGACAGGAAGGTGCTGGGAGACACAGCTTAACTGTCAGAAAGAAGGACTTGAATAAACAAACTGATGAATGGATAGATACAAAGACAGCGAGAGTTAAAGTGGCTCAAAGAGGTTGGTGAGGCCCCTCCTGAGGGGCTTCATCTCTCCTTCTCTGTTTTCCAGGGTTGTGGAGAAAAGCAGCTTTATGCACAGCTGACCTCTCAGCAGACAGTTGAGAGAGTGTGAGGAGATGCCGTATCTTTTCCCAAGTCCTTTCTCCATCTTTCACCTGTGCAGCCTTCCTCTAGGCCTCGTTCTATCTTCACTGCTCATCCTCTCTGGACAGTTATTGGCCCAGCATTTTTCCTCATTCGCTCTGCTGAATGCCCATTTTTGAAATTGCTTTATAGTCTGTTGTTCATTGCAACTATTCAGTTAGCTTAATAGTAGTTAAATTTTTGTACATCCCTTTAAAGCTATAAAACAGTAATTACTTACTTGGTCAAAACTGAGGAGAAACCAGAATCTGGTGTTTTGATGTCAGTTAGACTAGCTACAGCCAGCCTGAGCTAAACCTAAATGAAAAATAAGTTTTGATGCTGAACATGCGAGTACAACTACTTTTTTATTTTTGGAAAATAATCATGCTAAAAAAGATTAAATTAAGGTTTGCAATTAAGGTTAGCTGTTAAACACTTTGGCTAAGCAACCTACAAACTTGAGATTCTTTCTCTCATCTTCACAACAGTAGAGAAAATGAAGGTTACAGTGGCTACACATGGATTTGGGTCCTCAAAGCATAATGTTCTGTTTTTTTCATACTTTAATTGTCAATGCCAAATTAGGTGTTTGATTGCATTTTATGGATTCTGACTGCAAAATAAAATCCCCTTGTTGAATGTAAAGCCTTTCCATTTCCATATTGAATAGCTATCCAAAGATTTAGTTTTAACTAACAAAGGTTCTAAATAAGAGAAGGCCTGGACCCCACCTTGGTCCACAGGCATTTTCACTTATTTTGCCTGTTCACACCTCTTCTCAGGAATGAATGGGCATGTACAGACTGTGCTTGATTGACAAGCCAGACGACATCCGGCTTTATCATTCTTAAAGCCTTTTTCCCACCCTAAACATTTAAACATGTAATAGCAGGAAAAACACGAGTGTAATTAATAAACATAATTATAGTTTGGCTCCCATTAAGTTTTTCAGGTCCAGGGCTCGGATATTGCACGCTAGCTCACTGGCATGACATTTTAGGATGCTTGAGTGCACATGAGCTATTATCAGTGTTGGAGTTTCCATCCTGTAAATACAGTTCAGATGTTCAGAGCAAGTGGAAAAACTGGTTCACTGGTTCAGTCCCTGGACTGGCAGGATTAACACTGGGTTGGACGGGTGACAAAGCAGCACTTTCCCCATCTTCATTAACACCACTGTGGTGCCCCTGAGCAAAGGCCTTGACCCCAAATTGCTCCAGTGGAGCTGCTCCGTGGCCACAGCTCAGTCTGTGGTTGTACTGGGCAGATTCCAGGTGTGAACAGGAACAAGTTGTTCCTGAAAAAGAGAGGTGGTCTCTCAGGCAACCTGTCCTGAATCAATAAAGGTTTAAACAAAACATTAAGGAACATTACTGTCTTTTTGTAAATGGAAAAAAGTTTATGTACAGAAAGTTTTGTTTGTGTTTCTTAAATTTGGCATGAAAAGGTACAGAACCCCAGATACTCTATCAGCTTTGGTATCAGTTACATTCAAATGGGACCCAGAAACAAAGCAGTATTATATATGCTACCTTCAGTCTTCATGTGTGGGCAGAGGAAGGAGAAGCATTTCTTGTAAAGATGCTGTAACATTATTTGTAATGGCAATAATTGATCCTTTTGTCACGTTTTACCCTGGAGACACAAACAAACTGAAATGCCCTGGCCTCCTTCACATACACCTTGTCCAGCCAGGCCATTTCAACACAGGGCCAACCTTTCCTCTACCAGCACTGAGAGAAGCATAAAACACCCACAGCTCCACTATAGCCTCACCCAGGTATTATCCAACACTCAGCAGAACACTTGTCCTGCATTAGTAACCCAACTCATCTTGTCAACACAGACGCAGGACAGAGGCTCTTAGTGGAAGCCGGGCGGACTGTTAGTGTTAAATGGCAGCAGTGTTTCCTCCGGAATCAACTGCTGACAAATGAGGGCTGATGGAGCAGTTCTTGTCTGAACCATTATTTCTGATGGGGCCAGGATGGAGCACTCTTTATCTGAGCTGCGACGCCCTCTGAGAAATACCACCGAACCCATTCAAAACACACTCAAACTCTTCAAATGATGGATTTAATAGCAAAATCTTTAAACTGTAACACCAGGAAACTTTTAAGCTTTTTCACAGTTTGAGTCATCACATCTTCTACTGAACTAGCAGAGACCTTTAGTGCACATACTGTAAAGGGATTTCCTTTATGAGAAAGCCAAGTCCGTCATTACTGTTATTAATACTCACTGGCTTACATTTC